GAACAGTATTAGAGAGCTTTGGTGTTATTATTTGAATGCATAAAATAAATTATAGCCTATATTGATGTACAGATTTAATAGAATGGTAAAGTTCAATGTTATTGTGTATGTTGTCATTTTTTTTTTATAATGTAAGACTCATGTAATGTAAGTAAAAATGTACTGTGATGGTACTAGGGTATAATGATGTCATCAGATAGTATCAGCATTAAATATTACAACAGCCATTTTTGAGGTACTTTTTTGTATGCATTATGCATGAAATATCTTCTCTGCATAATGGAATGAATTCATGCATGAAATGAACAGATGTCATGTATAAAATAAGCTGATGTCGTGCATGACAAACAGGAATATACCTCAAGTGTGAGCATACCCGCAAGTGTGTATAAAACTCTTGACAAGATGTCAACGTCCGAAGGGCAGTTTAGGTGATCAGAGACCACATCTTAATAGTAGGAAGTGAAAGATGATCCAAGATTGTAAATAAAATAAATAAATAAATAAAACAAATCATCCCATTAATCACTTTAGAAAATAAGGCTTGCAAGACAAAATACTGCATAGCATGCTGCTACCCACCTGAGTGCCAGCCTGCTGTAATCTGTTAAATCACAACATCTGAATCATACAGTATGAAGAAAATCAACATCAAGTGGTCAATCAACTCTTCAAGAGGCCAATTACTGTAGCTATTCGACAGTTTAGAAATTACAGAACTACTTTAAATTTCAAGTTCAAACTCAAAAATGACTTACTGCACACTTACTGCACAGCTACTTACTGCACAGTGCCCTATAGCCTGTTATTATGTACCCTACTGTATAATATTTTTTTTTAAAAAAATAGAAAAAAAGAAAGTCAAGAAGTAAACTTCAATTAACTGAAAACATCAGTTTTAATCTAATTAATATTTCCAAAATTGTGTGTTAATTTAAACCCTTATAAAAATGTGCATGTGATAAAAGAGTTAGATGCAAGTGGGATACAGTATTCAGGTAGTATGTTTTTGTTTTGTTTTGTTTTTTGTATACAGCTCATTTTGTCAAATGCTGGAGGTCACCCAGGTGTTCTATGTGTACAGAATATTCACACTGTCCACAGTATGCATATCCTGTAGCTGTACTGTATAAAGTATCCTACACCACGTAGCAAGCTTATTTGTATAATGTAGGCCTGCTAAATATGAAGCTAACTGTAGTAGCCTACTATGGCTGAATTCGATATCACATACTTCAAGGCGAAAAACAGTGGGCTACGTCACAAAAGCCCATGTCATAGTTGGCAAAAAGTAGCTACTCAGACGACATCTACTTCCGGTGATATTTTGAAGTGTGAATTTGTTGGAACATGGGCCTGCTGTTCGAACCGCTCGATACAATCAGGATACAATCGGACTTTTCAAAGTTAAAAGGTACTTGAAAGGTAATTTGAGACTATTGATGATAATAGACCTTTCTACAGTCAGTGAAGGTTTATTCATGTAAGTAACCTAGTTAGGGGGGAAAGGTGCCTGCAGCCTGACATCCATCTTTAAAAGAGTATGCTAATAGAACACCACGTTAAATTTAAAGTATTTTTTATTCGACGATGTGCTTATAGTCTTTTCAAGAAAAACATTCCGTTTTAAGGTTATAACATAGCCTACTGTAAAAATGTACACGATAAACATGTCTACAGCGCCACGTTGTGGATACAATGAGAAATATCATCAGGATCGCTTAGCTTACCACTATTGGTCATGAGCATTACATGACTCCAACACTAAAGTATGCTTTACTGGCACTGTACTTATGACGTCAGTCTTAATCGTTAGCTATTTGAGAGCTGTGAAGCTGGTTTAGCAGGTGGTCTTATGCACGGAAAGTTATAAATGCATGGTGACTTAATTTGTCAGAATGTTGATAATTCTTAGATCTGTCTTCCTATTTAATTTCGTGGATGAATTAACATTATGAAAAATTTTAGCCCCTCTGAGTCATTTTGTCCTGACATTTTTTTCATCATAGAGTGCCCTATTTTGAGCCAGCTGTAGCCTGAGAATGAAGTCAAAGGCTGTCCCACTTTATGTTTTCTGCACCCCTCGGCCTCCTTCAACACCCCACTGTGCACATATATCGTGTAGTGATTCATATGGTGTGGCCTGTGCGACAACACGTACTAGTGAAGTTATATTTAACTGACTTTAGAAAGCTGACACTCTGGATGTTTTCCACATCTCCACTCAAGAATGCTTCAGGTTCTGTGCCAGGACTGGATCTGTAAGCGTGTGTCTGGATTGGGAATAACAACACAATTAAACACTTAACAAGCTTATTTTCATGACTGATGCCTGGTTTGCATAGAGATGTGTGATTTAGGACTTTAGAGGACATGGGTCATGCTATATATGATTTTTTTTTAATATAAATTATTTTTTCAACTGGCTTTATACAGTATGATCTCACAAACAACACATAGGCCTACACTATATACTTCAAATGTTTGAGGTCAGTATTTTCTGTTTTGGAAAAAAAGTCTCATGTCCACCAAGGCACATATTATTGAGATGTCAGTGTCACATGATTCCTTAGCAATCATTCTAATATACTTATTTGCTCAAGAAACATTTAAATATTATTTTGAAACTTTGAAAACAGTTGCACTGCTTAATATTTTTTATGATAACCATGAGACATTTTCTTTGTTGAACAGAACGTTCTAAAAGCATTTATTTGAAATATTTTTGTAAAAACATAAAAGTCTATACTCACTTTAATTTGATCAATGAAAAGTATTAATAAAAAAATATGAAATACATCCATGAATTAAGATTTATTTATCAGACCTCTTATTAAATCATTTATTATCTTTTATATATTTTTGTCAATATTTTGTATTTGAAAAGTTGGGTTTTATAATTTTGTTATAGTGTAGGAATGTTTTGTAGGGGAAAAAGAACCAAGAACAATTGAATTTAATTGATAATCATTAGTTGGTTTGCTAATATTTATTCTCTGTGATCCAGAATCCAGACAGCATTGAACGGATGCTGAAAAATATAAATGACTAAAGCTCTATTGTATTTTTTCATCATTCTTAACTATGATGGGAGATTAACCTTCATTTAATACAAATTTCAAGGCGATTCACTTACTGTACACTCAAGCCCTGTGCAATCTGTTCTCAAAAGCATGTTTCTGAAGTGCTTTAAGTGTGTAGTGATACTCTGTTCTTTGATAAGAATACAAGAGCCCAACATCAGTACTACATGGCTATCATTACAATATGTATATATGTGTGTGTGTGTATTGTAATGATCGCCATGTAGTACTGATGCTGGGCTCTTGTATTCTTATCAAAGAACAGAGTATCAATATAGGCTATAGAATATGTGGTGAACAAAATTATTTTAATTTTTTTTCAGGATTATTTGATAAATAGGAAGTTCAAAAGAACAGCATTTTTCTGAAAAAGCAATTTTTTTACATTCACATTTTGGATGCAAATGAAAATGTATATCAGTACCCACAGTAAGTTTCAAAGGACCTTGTTTTTTTTCCACCTAATACCATCAGCATACCATGACGTCAGAAAACAGTTTAATATGCCCATAACATTCTATTTTGAAGTGACTGTGAAGACATTGCAGCCTCCAAGAAAACAAATTAAAGATGTCCAAGTCTTCATATCAGTGTGTGTGTGTGTGTGTGTGTGTGTGTGTGTGTGTGTCTGGTAATCATCACTTTGTGGGGACAAGAATCTGTTTACACAGTCACGTAATGGGGACCTCTTGCGTTGTGGGGACCAAAAATCAGGTCCCCATAAGGTTAACCCATTTAATTGGATAGAGGAACTATTCTGAAGGTTCTGGGCGGAGTTTTAGCATTGGCCCATAACACATGATTATCAGGTATTGTGCGTGTGTGTAGCGGGAGCTCTGCTGCGCCCCCAAACATTTTTGTCTGGTAATGCACTCACTTCTCCACACACACATTTTCCAATTATGGGTGGGTACCGCCCACTTCCGGGTCCTCGTTAGGAAGGAGTTCGACAGCAACTTGAAAATACAAGTATTAAATTGACAACGTTACTTCACACGGAGAACAAAGAAGAAGATTAACGTTATTTACTGAAGATGCCAACGATCTGAACTTCTGCCGAGGATAAAAGTGAAGCTTAAGGTAAGCACACATAATAAATCAATTAGGTTAATTAGATTAGTCTGCGGGCTAGCTAGTTAGTGCTAATTGTTGAGGCTAACGCAGTTACATGTTTCTCTGTTTTTCCAATTAGCGATCACATAATCATGCAATTTAATGTTAAGGACTTAATTTTAACTGAAAAGTGTTGTGTAGTCTGACTGATTGCTAATGGATTCGGTTTTTAAGGTTGTTTTTGTCTAGTTTGCGCTAGTGCTGGACGGTGGCTTATTTTATATTTTAAATTGAAGATATCTTACATGTAACGTTAACACGTTTGACTGATCAATAATTGTTTTTACATTTAAATTAACTCCATAGGCAGCATATACAAGCCACAGATCTTGACCAAAGTGCTTAACAGAGAAATTAGGTTGGCTAAAATAAAACAAAAACTAAAATAGAAAGTAGCTTTAAGAATAAACTTAATTTTAATTATGACGGTAGTTAAAATAAACTGGGGTTTGTATGGTGAGCTCGTTCAAAAGAGTAACTTGGTTAGGTTAAGGACCAAATGAATAGTTAAATAATTGCCAAGGCTAATGTTACCTGAAATAAAATAGAAGATGGTGAGTTGATGCTCTCAAGGCTAGCATTGTTGTGCCAGTCAATAAATCTAATATTATTTTATAGAGTTCATATGTCTTGTCTTACACTGATGCATACAATATCATTGTAATGCTGTAACATTACAATACCATTTTTATCTACTTCTTGAACATATTAGTTGAATTCTGCGTGTCTTCATTTTCAGTGTAATTAATTTCACATGTTTTTATTTTTCATCAGTTTGAAATGCCACCACGAATCAGCCCCTTAAGGATGCCATGCATCATGTTGTTTCAAAAACTGACAAAACATTCAAATTAGATGTGAAGTATATCAATGCAGTGAAAGGTAAGGTGGTGTGATTTTTATCATGAAATATTTACCAAGATATGCATTTCCTAACCATTATCTTATGAGCATGTAATGCAAAACTCCTGGGTATATTTAATCAGACCCCTGGTTGCAGCTTATTTTAAATCAGCTGCCAACTATTGATGACTTTTTTAGTGTATTTGGTATCCTTTATCTATAAGATTTTATTAATTTAAAATGTTTTTTTCTGTATTTTGCAGGACGTGGTCTATTTGCAAAGGCTGCCTTTTGCAAAGGTGATTTTGTTGTTGAGTACAGGGGAGATATGATAAATGAAGCAGAACTTCAGAGGAGAAGAAAACGTTACCACGCATCCTGTGCTGCATTTATGTTTGATTTCAAGTGGCGAGGGAAAACATGGTGGTAAGAAGTCAAGTTGTACCAAAGCTATATAAAAAGATAGTAAAAATACATTGATTTGTGGTGGTTTAATTGTATTACTTGTAATCATCCTTTTCTCATGGTTTCATATTTAAGTATTGACGCGTCAAGGGAAGATGGATCGTATGGGCGTATCGCTAATGATTGCCACAATCATCCAAATTGTAAGATGAAAAAAATTGACGTCAATGGAAAGCCTCACCTTTGTCTGTTTGCCCTGAATGACATTAAAGAAGGAGAAGAAATTGCCTATGATTATGGGGAGAAGACTACCCATGGAGAACACAAGTATGTTGTTAAGCACACTGTGTACAAAATAGGTCATATTTTTGCAACATGTCAACAAATTTGTTGGTTGATTAGAAATCTATGAATCAAATTTGTCTGTTCCAATAAATTATATCCAAATCCCCAAATCAACTCTCCTCAACAGGTGAGTTTAGGTGAATCATTGTGAATGTTGTCTCTTACAGATGACCAGAGTTGCTGTTAATACCAGCACAGTGAATGACTCTGATCCTTCTCTCCAGTCAGTGACTCAGATGGATGAAGAATCTGCTCAAATCAACTCTCCTCAACAGGTGAGTTCACATTCATTAGTAAAGATTTAGGTTTTTTGTCACGGTTTAGTGATTTGTAAGCATATTTTGATGAGTATCTGGTGTAAACTAGTACATTAAACTGTTTTACGACATGTGCCCAGTAGATCAGTTGTAGTGCAGTATTTAGGGCCACTTTTATCCTTCACTGGGATTTTTTTCTGGGTTAATTGTTGCATTGAAATGGACACTCACGACGTCCCCACAACACACTTTTGGTCAGTATTTGAGTTCACACCCGTGTTTTGAATTTGATGAAACTGGTCCCCATAAGGAACTATAACGTTGTGTGTGTAAAGTCCCCATGAGGCTGGTTTTAATCTAGATATTTGTGTGTGTGAGCGCGCACAGAGTTAGACTGGACAGGAAATATGTTATAGATGTAGTTGATTTCGTTTTACATTCTCAAATCATGTGGTATCTGCTTCAGATTTCTCTTGTCCTTTTCCATTTTCTAAAATCTTGTCATTGTGAATGTTGTCTCTTACAGATGACCAGAGTTGCTGTTAATACCAGCACAGTGAATGACTCTGATCCTTCTCTCCAGTCAGTGACTCAGATGGATGAAGAATCTGCTCAAATCAACTCTCCTCAACAGGTGAGTTCACATTCATTAGTAAAGATTTAGGTTTTTTGTCACGGTTTAGTGATTTGTAAGCATATTTTGATGAGTATCTGGTGTAAACTAGTACATTAAACTGTTTTATGACATGTGCCCAGTAGATCAGTTGTAGTGCAGTATTTAGGGCCACTTTTATCCTTCACTGGGATTTTTTTTCTGGGTTAATTGTTGCATTGAAATGGACACTTACGACGTCCCCACAACACACTTTTGGTCAGTATTTGAGTTCACACCCGTGTTTTGAATTTGATGAAACTGGTCCCCATAAGGAACTATAACGTTGTGTGTGTAAAGTCCCCATGAGGCTGGTTTTAATCTAGATATTTGTGTGTGTGAGCGCGCACAGAGTTAGACTGGACAGGAAATATGTTATAGATGTAGTTGATTTCGTTTTACATTCTCAAATCATGTGGTATCTGCTTCAGATTTCTCTTGTCCTTTTCCATTTTCTAAAATCTTGTCATTGTGAATGTTGTCTCTTACAGATGACCAGAGTTGCTGTTAATACCAGCACAGTGAATGACTCTGATCCTTCTCTCCAGTCAGTGACTCAGATGGATGAAGAATCTGCTCAAATCAACTCTCCTCAACAGGTGAGTTCACATTCATTAGTAAAGATTTAGGTTTTTTGTCACGGTTTAGTGATTTGTAAGCATATTTTGATGAGTATCTGGTGTAAACTAGTACATTAAACTGTTTTACGACATGTGCCCAGTAGATCAATTGTAGTGCAGTATTTAGGGCCACTTTTATCCTTCACGGGATTTTTTTTCTGGGTTAATTGTTGCATTGAAATGGACACTTACGACGTCCCCACAACACACTTTTGGTCAGTATTTGAGTTCACACCCGTGTTTTGAATTTGATGAAACTGGTCCCCATAAGGAACTATAACGTTGTGTGTGTAAAGTCCCCATGAGGCTGGTTTTAATCCAGATGTGTGTGTGTGTGAGCGCGCACTAGAGTTAGACTGGACAGGAAATATGTTATAGATGTAGTTGATTTCGTTTTACATTCTCAAATCATGTGGTATCTGCTTCAGATTTCTCTCATCTTTTTCCATTTTCTAAAATCTTGTCATTGTGAATGTTGTCTCTTACAGATGACCAGAGTTGCTGTTAATACCAGCACAGTGAATGACTCTGATCCTTCTCTCCAGTCAGTGACTCAGATGGATGAAGAATCTGCTCAAATCAACTCTCCTCAACAGGTGAGTTCACATTCATTAGTAAAGATTTAGGTTTTTTGTCACGGTTTAGTGATTTGTAAGCATATTTTGATGAGTATCTGGTGTAAACTAGTACATTAAACTGTTTTACGACATGTGCCCAGTAGATCAGTTGTAGTGCAGTATTTAGGGCCACTTTTATCCTTCACTGGGATTTTTTTTCTGGGTTAATTGTTGCATTGAAATGGACACTTACGACGTCCCCACAACACACTTTTGGTCAGTATTTGAGTTCACACCCGTGTTTTGAATTTGATGAAACTGGTCCCCATAAGGAACTATAACGTTGTGTGTGTAAAGTCCCCATGAGGCTGGTTTTAATCTAGATATTTGTGTGTGTGAGCGCGCACAGAGTTAGACTGGACAGGAAATATGTTATAGATGTAGTTGATTTCGTTTTACATTCTCAAATCATGTGGTATCTGCTTCAGATTTCTCTTGTCCTTTTCCATTTTCTAAAATCTTGTCATTGTGAATGTTGTCTCTTACAGATGACCAGAGTTGCTGTTAATACCAGCACAGTGAATGACTCTGATCCTTCTCTCCAGTCAGTGACTCAGATGGATGAAGAATCTGCTCAAATCAACTCTCCTCAACAGGTGAGTTCACATTCATTAGTAAAGATTTAGGTTTTTTGTCACGGTTTAGTGATTTGTAAGCATATTTTGATGAGTATCTGGTGTAAACTAGTACATTAAACTGTTTTACGACATGTGCCCAGTAGATCAGTTGTAGTGCAGTATTTAGGGCCACTTTTATCCTTCACTGGGATTTTTTTTCTGGGTTAATTGTTGCATTGAAATGGACACTCACGACGTCCCCACAACACACTTTTGGTCAGTATTTGAGTTCACACCCGTGTTTTGAATTTGATGAAACTGGTCCCCATAAGGAACTATAACGTTGTGTGTGTAAAGTCCCCATGAGGCTGGTTTTAAACCAGATGTAGATCAAGATGTAATCCAGATGATCAAGCTTTGCTGGACAGGAATATATATATATATATATATATATATATATATAATTTTTGTTTTCTTGCGCTTTTTATTTTTACATGTCAAATACTAAAATGTTGTTTACACTGTTTTCTTTTCTTTTTACAGATTGTGATACAGCACCGAAATGAAAATGACATTTTTGTACCAAGACTGAGACGGACTAAAAGTATTGTGGTAAGTTCTCAAGTTGCAACAAGAGACTCAATTGCTATGTTTACATGCACACGTTGGAGTTTTTCCCTCTTTTGCTCCTCTCTTTTAAATTTTAAAATCGTCGATAATTTGAAAGCGAAAGTTAAATGTAAAGGGCATTCATAATTTGAGTCCATTCTTATGGAAGCTTGCTCTGCTCGCTTTTTACATAGGATAAAGGTGTTTGCATATGAAGGCTTTTCAGTCTGATTAAAGGAGAACTCTGGCGAACAATGAACCTTTGGTCTAATAATACATCGGTACATAGTCAATCGTTCTCTGAGATTTGTTTTCATGATAATCGAATATAAAGAGTTATCTCTAAAAACTGTTTAGCGTATAATGCTAGTAATGGGGCATTGACTAAGTAAAAAGAAATTGCTAGTTTATACCACTAACAAGGCTCAAAATAGCCCCACACTAACGCAGTAACATAATGAGGCTCCATACATGCAAAACGAAGCATTGAGAACTTTGTAAGTGTACAGACCGTTTAATAAGAAGATACTTTATGAAGACAGTTCACTGTTAATGTATACAGACAGAAGCCATCTTAGAAAATAAGTCTCGATAAGTCAAACCACGAACGTCGTGCTGAGTGATCTGAACTGTATGAAGTTCTTTGAACTTCTGAACTGTATGAACGTCGTTCGGGGATCGACTTATCGAGACTTTTTTAAGATGGCTCCTGTCTGTATACACAAAGTGAACTGTCTTCATAAAGTATCTTCTTATTAAACGGTCTGTACACTTACAAAGTTCTCAATGCTTCGTTTTGCATGTATGGAGCCTCATTATGTTACTGTGTTAGAGTGGGGCTATTTTGAGCCTTGTTAGTGGTATAAACTAGCGATTTCTTTTTACTTAGTCAATGCCCCCATTACTAGCATTATACGCGAAACAGTTTTTAGAGATAAAACTCTTTACATTCGATTATCATGAAAATAAATCTCATGATCTCAAATCTCATCAAAGAGAACGATTGACTAGGTACCGATGTTTTATTAGACCAAAGGTTCATTGTTCGCCGGAGTTCTCCTTTAAGCCGTCAGTCTGATTTCTAATGGATTATTTGGTTGCATGTAAACGTAACTATTGTCATTTGTTATTGATAAGTTATTTTGCTTAGAGCTGCCATCAACATTTTATTCTCATCAATCACTCAGTGAAATATAATTTAGGCTATGTAATTAATAAATTATGTGATAAATCATTTTGACTGCAAAATATCAGTGAATCAAAAAAATTGCATCCCCTTTATTTGAAATCAGATGTCCTTATTTGTGTCAGATCAACTGCCCAAAATGTTTTATTACACTTAAGAACTTTAGTGTAACAAGCAGTAAGAAGCTGCAAATCACATGTAACTTGTAAATTTAAAAATACTTGAACAGTACTTTTTTTTTTAAATAGTTGCCAATTTATATCTTTTAATGATCAATTAAATGCAGCAGTTCTACCTATTTCTAATGAACTTTTTGATGTTTCTTGTTTACTTTTTTAAGATGAAAGACATTGATCTTCAAGATTCTGGTGAGCTCTTTGATTCTACACCAGAGAGTTCAGATAATTATGTTCCAGATACCACTTCCGACAGTGACTGTGACAGTGATGTTAGCCTTACACTGAACCCAACAAAACGTCAGCTTCTTGATCAACTGGATATGAATGAATCTGCCTCTGTAAGCTCCCCTGACTGTGACTCAACAACGTCAGACAATATGCACAGCGTTACGTCTAAAGCATCTGGAACAGTAGAAGAGCCCAGTTCAAGTCAGAACACAATAGACTGCGTAGTTGTTAATGCATACCATAAAAGAGATGGTGGTAGAGTGTATAACAAGAGACATTACTGCTTGTATTGCTCCAAACCTTACGCTAAGATGGCAAGGCATCTAGAAAGTTCACATGCAAATACATCTGATGTGGCTAGAGCTCTAAGCTTTCCAAAATGTTCAAAGGAGAGAAAAAAACAGTTGGATTATATTCGCAACAAAGGGAACTATGCCCACAATGCTGCGGTTATGGAATCAGGAAAGGGGGAACTGGTGCCATTTAAACGACCACCTAAAAAAGCACTGGGAGAGGATTTCATGCATTGTGCATACTGTCAAGGACTTTTTACGAGAAAGGTCCTTTGGCGACATATGCGTTCTTGCAGACTTAAACCTCAGTCAGTCCCCCCCAAACCAGGAAAAAACCGTGTTCAGTCCATGTGTACATACACGGGGCCTGTGCCTTCAAACATGACCAAACAACTGTGGGAGTAATCAGTGCCATGAATCCTGACCCAATCACAGATATTATAAAAAATGACAAAGTAATTACTGAAATTGGGCAGCACTTGTTGAACAAAGGAGGGATATCAGCCAAAAATCAACAGTATGTGCGGGAGAAGATGCGAGAATTGGACGGTTGATTCACAAGGCGAGGAGAGTCACCTCGTTAAAAACGATGGAAGATTGTGTAAATCCAAAGAAGTACATGGAGACTGTCAAAGCTGTGAAGTATACGTGTGGGTATGACAGTGAAACAGACAAGTTCATGATTCCATCGCTTGCAAATAAGCTTGGGAATTCCCTGGTTAAAGTGAGCAAACTCTTAAAAGCTCAGGGATTAATCTCAAATGACAAACAGCTTGTTAAGAATGCCAGTGAGTTTCTAGAAGTCCATCAGAACAAGTGGAACGAGTTGATCTCGGCTACAGCATTGAGGAACATCAGTGAAGCAAAGTGGAATGTGCCCACTATCATGCCCTTTACTGAAGACGTCCAGAAAATGCACACACATCTCAGTGAAGTGCAAGAGAAGTGGTTCAAAACACTCTCTGGAAGTCCCTCTACTAAAACCTGGATGGAGCTGGCAAAGGTGTGTCTAGCCCAGATGATTCTCTTTAACCGCCGCAGGGAAGGAGAGGTTTCGAGTATGCCTTTGTCTGCATTTCTTTCAAGAGACACTTCTCATCCACATGAGGATGTGGACTGGGCACTTTCTGAAGTGGAAAAAAAACTCTGCAGACACTTCACAAGGGTTATCACAAGAGGAAAGCGTGGTCGACCAGTTCCAATTCTTCTGACTCCAAAAATGCTATGTGCCTTAGAACTCCTTGTTAAGCAGAGAGAGGTTTGTGGGGTTCTGAAAGACAATCCCTATATGTTTGCAAGACCAGAAGCCATGACACATTTTCGAGGGTCAGACTGCCTCCGTGGCTTTGCTAAGGTGTGTGGCGCAAAGTGTCCCAAGTCACTGACATCTACAAGACTGCGAAAGCATGCCGCAACGCTTTCAACAGTGCTGAATATGACTGACACCGAGATGGACCAGCTGGCAAACTTCCTTGGACACGACATAAGAATCCATCGTGAGTTCTATCGACTCCCTGAGAAGACCTTGCAACTTGCCAAGATCAGCAAAGTTCTAATGGCACTTGAACAAGGAAGATTAGCTGAGTTCCATGGCAAGAACTTGGATGAAATTGGGATAGATCCTGATGGTGTGGTATTTTATTTGACGTTTGTTTGATTTTTCTGTTTACCATCTATTCAAATACCATATGTTTACGATCTATTATATGCCATTAAGCTTTACTTTGAACTTCCACAGAAAAAGTTCTTAACTCTGATGAGGAAGACGAGAGCATAACAGAGGGACTCTGTTCATCTACTGTTGACGGTTTGTATTACTTTCAAAATACACTACTAGATTTTGCAGTTATTCATAGGTTTCAGTCACTTTACTTGTGAAGACCTGACATGCAAAAACAATGTTCTAACATCAAAGCCAACATTAAAGAAGATTCTTCAGTATGCTGAACAAAAGCTTTTTTTTTTTATTAACGAAACTGCTCATTGTGTAATGAATCAAATGCCTCCAAGCTATTCTTCAAATGTCTTGCACTAAACATTTATTTTGGAGTGAATATTTTTTGTGGACTTTACTACCATAAAAATTATGTTTCATAAGAGAAACGTGCACATTTTTCGTAAAATGCAAGCTGATCCGTTCTCTTCTCGTGTTTGTTGTGTTATGGCACTAAATGAACCATGTCAGATTATCAAGTAATTAACCATTTTATTTCATGTCTTAGTTTGCTTGAGCTTATGTTTGATTAATTGTCTGCTGGAAAGATGCAGTTCAATTATACTTGCAATAATGAAAAATTACACAGGTTTAAGAGTTAATTGTACTTTAATGATTTAAAATAATCAGTGCATAAGTGTGACTAAACACATTGTGTATTGTCTGTTGGAAAAATTTTCCTTCGAACAACAGACATTGGGATATCTTTCAAGCAGGATTCTTTACTGAGAACTCACTGTCCTGTTTATATACCTTTCAAGGGGAGGGATTTACATAGAGGTGGAGACACTCTGAAACAAAGCATGTAAACGAAGTACGGAAGTCAGTTC